TTTAAGACACAGTATGTGTCCTACAAAATGCTACACAGGACAGTCTCTGGATAAATGCTGAATGCTACCCCTTGTTTTCTATGGTATGGGAACATAAAACAAGCAAACCCAAAGTCATCTGGATCCTGCAGTGGAAATTCAGGGGAATTTTTCTTTAATACTTAATTATTTTTCCTCAGAGGTTTTATAAACCTAATTTTCTCTTGAAGTCAAACATGAGAGGTGGAATTGGCTTGGAGAATTGCTCAGACCCCAACACCCTATTGAGTGCTCCTGCTCTGAAAGTGTGTTCAAAATTAGCATTGGAGACCCCTCGCAATAAGTTGACAATACCGTCCTTTCATAATACACCAGAAAATACAAATCTATGATTTTATACAACTGCAATCACATGGACAGGGGGTAGATGGTCAAGAAAATGCAGTTTTTGTCCTCATTAGGAAATATGCAAACTCACTGACAAATTATCTACACAGTGCCCCCACTGACCACAATGGGAATGCATAGGGGGCATTATTCATATTATTATTATTTATTAATTGTATTGCAGCACTTAAATGCCCCAGTCAGGACTGGCAACATTTGAAGATAATGGAGTGATACATGTATTAGTGAGGGCAGAACTAAATTTACAGAAACTTGATTGCTGATGAAGCAGGAGAAAAGACTTCACCTTGACTTGCAGATTCAAGTACTTTGTAGCACTGGCACTTAGAAAAATATTTTTATTTGTGTGACTGGTTCCCCACAGCGGTGACACCTGGAACTAGGGTACCACTGAACCCTCTGACCCACCAACCTGGGCTCCCACTCACACTGTACTGCTGTGACAAGCTGCAAAGCCCTCTGGCCTGCACTTTCACCAGCATTCACAGAGGTCAGTACAGGCCCAGCTGTAGTTACATGCAGGCTCTCTAACCACCAGATTTCCAGCCTAGGATCCCAGAGCAGTATTTCCTGCCCTGGTTGAATCTGGCCAGTATATGGATTTAATACCCGGTCCACCTCTCCCTCAAAGTGAAGACAAAAATGCACACTTGTGGTAACCAAGCAGTGATTTCTCCCTCCCACCCAGCGCTCACTGGCTTGGATTCAAACATAAAAACATTAACTACAAAAGATAGATTTGAAGTGATTATTAGTGATATCAAACTAGATTACCTAGCAAATAAACAAAACAACAACCTAAGCTTAATATACTAAATTGGATATGAATAGCAGATTCTCACCCTAATTGATGGTACAGGCAGACTTGTAGATTAAGGCACAAGCTACACTTGCTTTTCAGCTTGGAATCCCTTCAGCCTGGGTCTAGCACTTCCCCCAGTTCAGTCTTTGTTCCTCAGGTGTTTCTAGGAGTTGTCTTGTGTGGGGAGTGAAGAACCCCAGATGATGTCACTCCCTGCCTTATATAGCGGGAAGTCTTTGTTTCAAAGCTTGTTTCCCAGGCCAGTTAGTGGAAAAATACTGACATCCCAAGATGGAGTCCAGCGTCATGTGGCCTGGTCACATGTCCTTGTAGAGCAGGGGTCGGCAACGTTTGGCACACGGCTCGCCAGGGTAAGCACTCTGGCGGGCCGGGCCAGTTTATTTACCTGCTGACGCGGCAGGTTCGGCCGATCGTGGCCCCCACTGGCCGCAGTTCGCCGTCCCGGGCCAATGGGGGTGGCGAGAAGCGGCGTGGGTGAGGGATGTGCTGGCTGCGGGCTCACACCACCCCACCTGGCCAGCGGACGCGCACCCCCCCGCA